CTCTTAGCAGCCTCCAACAATAAGGTTGACAGTAAATCAAAGGGTCTACCCTGTGGCTCTTCCAGCAGGGAAGAAGGTCTGCACAGGGCCACGCAGAAAAGGGGCAATTATTGGTTGAACTAGATGGACTTGTCTTTTTTCAACCTCACTATGTAACTATATAGGCTGTAACCTTGTTTTGATTCTGCCCAGGGGCGGACTGACCATTTGAGCACTCGGGTACTGCCCGAGGGCCCAGGGTCAGTAGGGGGCCCCATGAGATGCCCCTGGTACCTTTCATTGTCTTTTTCATAGGCTTTTTTGGGTGTGGGCGAGGACACAGGAGCCCCATGATCCCCTATTGCCCGGGGGCCCCATGAGTTGTCAGTCCGCCCCTGATTCTGCCAACCCCACTCCACTAGCTGTAGCATGGAGCAGATGATTTTAACTGCCCCAGCTGCTAGTGTGGGAAAAAAATAAGCCACCCCCATGCCCAGTGCCTAAATGCCAGATTGCCCAATATGCTGGTTTTAAACTACAGCCTATCATGCTTGCGGATTCTACTCCCTTTTGGGAAATTGAAGCCTGTGGTGTACTGCATGTAGTTCCCAGCAGCAAGTTCTTCACCTGTAAGTCCAATCCTGCCCTTCACAAGTATGGGCAGGGATGCTTTATATCATCTACTGCCCACTCGGTGACTCTGCTGGTAGCTGGGAATGATGCAGGATAGGACATACTGCTGGAGCTTGTACAGCTGCCCCCTATTGGGTATGTTGATGGTGCCAAAGATATTCCCTCCACCTCCTCTTCAATGTCCTCTTCCAGTTGTACCAACAGTCCCCCTTAAGCATTCAAGAGGTTTTGCAATGACTCAGGTAAAAAGATGCCACACAGTGCTGCAGCTGATATGCCTACAGGACAGGAGCCACATTGGGGCAGAGGTCCTCTCAGCTCTGCAGGAACAGGTCCACAGGTGGTTAACCCTGTGGCAATTTGTGTCAGGAATGGTGGTGTATGACAACAGCACCAGCATTCTCTCTACCCTCTGGCAGGGAAAGCCGAAACACATGCCTTGCCTGAAAAATGTCCTCAGTCTTTTGGGTGTAGCGTGGATAGGTACCCTGTGTTACAAGTTCTTCTGGAGCAGACCAGACATGTTTGTAACTATTTCAGTCAGTCCTCCCAACCAGGGTTTGGCTGAGTGAAATTCAGTGGGAAATTAATCTTCTCACAAACTCAGCTTTGGCAAATCTGTAGTGGCTGCACATGCAACAGAGGGCCATCAACAAGTAGCTCTAGTGTGGGGACAGACTAGGAGGAGCTTGGCTTCTTTTCTCCACACCAGTGGCTATTGATACAGGATACTTGCACTGTATTGTCACCATTTGAGGTGGTGAAAAAAATTATGACATGTGACAATGTGTACATCAGTGACACTATACCAGTTGTGTTCCTGCTTAAGCACATACTGCATGGCATCATTCACAGGGCACATAAGGCAGAGTAACAAGAGGAAGAGGACTTCCTTGCACCTCTGGGCCCATTCTAGACAGACACCATCCCTGTGAGGCCACAGCAAGCACAGGAGGAGGAGTATGGTTGCTGTGGAAACATTGAGGCTGAAGATGACATAGGGCAGTCTTCCAGGGGTGGGTTTCCAAACCCTGGAAGTAGTACGTGGATGGAGGGTTAATAGCTCAGTACAATATCCTCCTCAACATCCACAAAGACTTGGGTTCCTGCACCTCCAATTTATTATGTTACATGGGATCCCTCATGCTCCAGAGCCCGCAAAAGGACCCTTGGATTTGTAGCAGCAAGGTAAGGGATCATTACTGGTTGGCAACACTCCCTGATCCACATTACAAGGGGAAAGTCACAAAGTTGATCCTGGCCTCAAAGGGGTAGCAGAGGATGAAACATCTGGAGGACGAACTACAGAGGAACTTGTTTCACACATTTCCAAAGGATGGCAAGATAACATCTCATGGACAAGGTATCTCTGAGCTATCAGTGAAAGGAGAGAAACAGTGGTGGGGGTGGCTGCCTGAGCAATGCCTTTCAAAAATGTTTCAGTACTTTCTTCCCAGGAACTTCTACTGTCAGCAGCAGCTGCTGTATCGCATGGTGAACTTTTGTTTGGGGTAGCTTGTCCAGCATGCAACTGCTGGGCTGTCTTGCAGCCAGCGTGCTCTCTGAATGTGTATTCAGTGTTGTGCATGTTTCACATGCTGCCACCATTGCCATGTCTGGTCTTCTTGAGCACACCCAGCCACCATTAGCACATCCCTCTAACTGCCGCTGTTAACACTTTCTTGGCCATGGTTATAGACCATTGCCATCTTAAAAATAGGGCCAAAGCTGCCGTGCTTTGCAAAACAGTTTTAATGCAGTATCCACATTTCTAGCAGCTGTTTCTCCGTTACAAATGATGTGAATTTTATTTAAAACAATCCATGTTGTGTTCTGAAGTATTTGATCTGTGGGGTTAAGGTGTTCATGCACAACCAGCACCCAAAACCCATTTTTTTCACAGCTGTGTGATGGAAGCACAAATATGCACTTTTTGTCCAGAGTTGAGAGTTGGTATCTTATGAGAGTGGAGCTAATTAACTTCAACTCTCTTTTGAACTACAGATAGAAAGGTCAGAATGGACAAAGATGTGTACACATGTATTTGTGCTCAGCTTCCTAGCCTAGACCTTCATATCAACCATCATAAATATAAATATGTGCGCTTGTAAAGAAAAAAAAATAACGTAGTATTCTAAAAAAAATGTTTGTTACTGTAATGGATTATATACTTTTTGGATGTTAATTGAACAAAACAAATGTAAATATTAGGCATGATTTTGGGGTAGGTCTTTGAATGTGCAAGGCATTGGCTTTAAAACCTCATATTAATATTATTAATTATTATACAGAATTTATATAGCACCAACAGTTTGCTCAGCGCTTTACAATATAAAGGGAGACAATACAGCAACAATACAGTTCACTACAAGAGGGTTAGGAGGGCCCTGCTCCTTGGAGCTTACAATCTAAGAGGCAAGCGCTGGTGGTACAAAAGTTAAAAACTGTGGGGGATGATCTGATAGGAGAAATAGAAGATGTGGTTATTAGCTGAAGGCAGGATAGGCTTCCCTGAAGAGAGAGGTTTTCAGAGATCACCAAAAAGTGGGCAAAGTACATGATAGTCGGATAGATTGGGGTAGAGAGTTCTAGAGGATGGGGGAGGCTCTGGATAAGTCCTGGAGACAAGCATGGGAGGAGGAGACAAGAGAGCTAGAGAACAGGAGGTCATGGGAGGAGCGGAGAGGAAAGTTTGGGTGATATTTGGAGAGAAGATTGGTGATGTAATTTGGGACAGAGTTATAAATGGCTTTATATGTTATTGTTAATGTTTTGAATTTTATTTGTTGGGCAATGGGAAGCCAGTGGAGGGATTGGCAGAGAGGGATGGCAGATATGGAACGGTTAGTAAGGTGGATGAGTCTGGAAGCAGCATTCATGATAGACTGAAGAGGGGATAGACCTTGATTAGGTAGGACAATGAGGAATGAGTTACAATAGTCAAGGCGAGAGATAAGGAGTGAATAAGTTGCTTATTGGTTTCAGAGATTAAAAATGAGTGGCTCTTGGAGATGTTGCGGAGGTGAAGTCTACAAAATTTGGACAGTGATTGGATTTGGGGCTGAAAGGACAGATGGGAGTCTAAGATTACACCTAGTACCCTGACATGAGGGGAGGGACTGACAGTTGTATTATTGATCTTGATGGAGAAGTCAGGGGAGGGGTCATGGTCTGGAGGGAATAGTATGAGCTCCGTTTTGGAAAGATTTAGTTTGAGGAAGTAGAGTGACATCCATGCTGATATGTCACTTAGTAATGCGAGAGGAGACTGAAGGGGTGAGGTGAGGAGTAGAAAGGTAGATTTGTGTGTCATCAGCATAGAGATGGTACTTAAAGCTATGGGAGTTTATCAAGTGACCAAGGGAGGAGGTGTAGATGGAGAAGAGAAGGGGTGCAAGGACAGAACCTTGAGGGACCCCTACAGAAAGAGGAAGTGGAGAGGAGGAGACAGAGTTATAGGTAACGCTGAAGGAGCGCTGTGATAAGTAGGAGAATCAGGAGAGAGCAGAGTTCTCGGAGGCCAAGAGAGTGGAGTTTTTTTGAGGAGGGGATTGTCAACAGTATCAAAAGCCACAGAGAGGTCAAGTAGTAAGAGTATGGAGTAGTGGCCACTGGTTTTAGAAGTTAGTAAACCATTAGTGAGTTTTAGTAGGGCAGTTTTAGTGGAGTGGAGTGAGCAAAAGCCAGACTGTAAAGGGTCAAGAAGGTTGTTGTCAGTGAGGTAGGAGCTCAGGCGATTGTAGAGTAAGCGTTCTAAGAGTTTAGAGATAATGGGAACAGGGAGATGGGTCTAAGTTGTTCAGATTGGTGGGGTCCAGCGAGGGCTTTTTAAGTATGGGAGTGATCTGTGCATGCTTTAGAGGGTGGGGGAGGCACCAGTAGAGAGGGAGAGATTGAAGATGTGAGTGAGGAAGCATAGGACAAAGAAGAGGGTGACCGTAGTAGTTGAGAAGGGACAGGATCCAGGGGACACGTGGTGAGATGGGCTTCTGAGAGAAATTTAGTGACCTCTTGAGTAGTGGCAAGGTCAAAAGAGGAAAGTGTTGAGGGAGGTTTAGTATAAGGTATGCTAAGTGGGATAGATGTCTGCGTAGTGGAGATGCCCCTACGAATTGCATCAATCTTGTTTTTGAAATGATTGGCAAACCATAAGCAGTGAGTGAGTTACTGGGTGGAGGTGGAGAAGGTAGATAGTTAGTCCAATCAGAGCTGATCACATGTAAACAGGGAAATGCTGGTTATCAGAATTTCTCTCCCCACGAGCTGTCATGCTGACAGCTCGTGAGGAGAGGAGAGCCGGTAATTGGCATTCCTCGGAGGGGACATGTACACTGATCATCAGAGCACTGATCAGTGTGCCCTCATGATCTGTGTAGCCCCAGCAGCGCCACCTGTCGGTGTCCATCAGTGCCAGCCAGCTCTCAGTGCTCATCCATGCCACCTGCCAGTGCCCATCAGTGCCACATTTCAGTGCCACATTTCAGTGCCCATCAATGCCACATATCAGTGCCCATCTGAGCTACCTTTCAGTGCCACCCATCAGTGCCAATCAGTGCCACCTATCAGTGCCGCCTATCAGTGTGCATCTGTGCCGTATCAGTGCCCGTTAGTGCCCTATCAGTGCCACCTAACAGTGCCAGTCAGTGCCACCTATCAGTGCCGCCTATCAGTGCCGCATATCAGTGCCATATATGAGTGCTGCCTTTCAGTTCCCATCAGTGATGCCTGTCAATGCCCATCAGTGCCACCTACCAGTGCCTCCTCATCAGTGCCCATCAGTGCCACCTATCAGTGCCCATCAGTGCATTAACCTGTACAGTGCCATGTGGCATTCTTCAACTTTAAACACAAACAGAAACGTCTGACTCTGGAATAGGAAAATGTACTCTCTGTGAACAGGCCAACACAGGACACCATTAAAACTACATGTTCAATGCTCATATTATGCATATCAAAAACACAAGGTGCAGGTAGGAAGGTTCACAATGCCTTTAAAGATAAATCTGCTCCCTCTGTCTTTTAGAAATTATGGCCTGTCCAAAAAGGGTTTAAAGCTGTGATGACGAGTACTTTAATTTTCACATCTTCTGCGTGCAATAATAAAAAAAGACTTTCAATCTTCTTGCTTTCCTCTCTCATAAATACTGAACAGTGTGAAAAGGTTTAAAAAGGTGTGCATCAAATCTGTAAAATGTGTCTGGCCTGCTATATCACACCAAAGTTGTCTAACTGGTTTAATTATTTTGCCAAGCTGTATGCTTTTTCCATTCACAGTGTGTAAAGTAACACAATAAATGTTTATTTCCTGATGCTAAATGCCTGCTCATTCCCTTAGTAATTGTGGCCTGTCCAAAAAGGCTTTTTAGCTCTGTAAGTTATTTCCATTGTAAGTGTGTCTAAAAAGACAAATTTTTTCCAAAAGCTAAATGCTTGCTCAATCTCTCAGAAATGTTGGCCTGCTTAAAAAGTATTATTGTTGTGGTATAAACCGATATACAGTTTCCATCCTCAAGGTCATGAATATTTCTTAGATGCTACTCAATACCTGCTTACTCTCTCTGAATTTTCAGCCTGTTTAAAAAGGCTTTTTATCTGTGGTGCAAACCTGTACGCTACTTCCACCACCACTTTCACATTTGTTAAAGCGGAGTTCCCGCCACGTCCCCCCTCCCCTTCCCCCCCAAAAAAGATAAAAAACTAGAAGTCAGCAGCTACAAATACTCAGGTTGCTGTGGTGAACTGAGCTGGAAGTGGGAGCGGATACCTGTCAAAACCAGGTACCCGTTCCCCCCAAAAGGTGCCAAATGTGGCAGCGGAGGGGGGGGGAGGAAGCAGATAAGCAGGGCTTCCACTTTTGGGTGGAACTCCACTTTAAATACCTTACCTGCTATATTTTTTCAGAAAGTATAGCCAGTTCAAACAGACTTTTAGCTGTGAAGCAAATCTGTGTGCTGTTTCCGTAGTCAGTGTACAAAAAAAAGACACACTTTTATCTAATTCTGATGCTCAATGTTTGCTCAATCTCTCAGAAAGTTTAGGCTTTTTTAGCTATGGTGCAAACCTGTATGCTATTTCCATTGTCAGAGTAAAAAATTGCACAATTTTTTTTTGGAAGGTAAATGCCTGTTTAAGTGCTCATAAATTGTGGCCTGTCAGTACGGGGTTATTAACTTTGCTGAAAAACTTTCATATTTCCATCTTTAGTCCCGTTTTACACAGGTGCGACTTGTCATGCAATTTGACAGTTCCAAATTGCATAACAATTCGCACCCTATTGCCAGCAATGGAACCGTTCATATCGCTGCGGCTCACGTCACAGCGATTATGAAAAAGGTTTGTGCACTACTTGGAGGTTAGTCTTCAAAAGAAGACACACATTTAGATTTCAAGGTGCAATCTGGTTTCTTTCTCCTTTCAAAAACTGGCTATCTGATAAAGGCTGAATAGGTGTCATTTAAAACTGTTCAACTCTTCAAACTTACAAAGTAGCTCCATGTGATCTGCCTGCTCCTTCACTCTGGAATAGTGGAATGGCAAAAAGGCTTCAAAACTCTGAATCACTTTTTTTTTGGTACAATTGTTTAGGTCTGAGAAAAAGGTTTGTTTATTCCATACTGTAACAGGTCTACCAGATCTAGAATCTAAGAAAATAAGGAGTACATACTCTACAGCTAATCTGTTCAGTTTTTTTTTGTTTTGTGGCTCTGAAAAAGCACACTCTAATATTATATATTTTAGGAGGGCTGAACCTCCCTAGTTTCTCCATCTTTTATTGCAGCCAAGCAAAAAAGCGTGCTGCATTTCTGTACAATATTGCTGGCTATTGACTGACATAATAAACTTAAATTTTTTTTTAAACTATGCCTCATTTCTTCCTCTGGCATAGTGGGCAAGTGTAAATGCTTACTTAATGGGCAGTGAGTCTGTACAATATTTAGGGTAGCCATGTTTGAAATATCATGCTCTCATTGGTTTTTCTTGGAATAATTGACTCGCCTTTCCCTCTTACATTGTTGCTCTTGACTCCTGTCAAACTGCTTGCATGCTCTCCAAATACAAAATAAAAAGTGTTTGCTTTTGTCTCTGAAACATGGCATTGGGATTTTTTTTTCTTGTTTGACATTACAATTACCTCAGCTATGCATAGTGGGTTTGTGGATTGTACACAATACAGTATGTTACTGAATTGGAAGATCACAACTTATGTTCTCTGACTTGCTTTGCCAGTGTTTGGAAATATATTTGAGGTTGATAGCCTTTTTTTTTAAGTAAATACCTTGCAGTAGTTCTATACTATGTTGCCTCTGTTGCTTGTAATACTCAATTATTATTGCTACACAAGAAATTTACAACAAATTTCTTTTCGAGCAGAAATCAATCATATTTGGGTTGATGCTGCATGTAAGCCAAACAATTATGTAAAAGTAAAGTAAATTATTACACATGCAATTTATGTGATGACAAAATATGAAATTGATGATGCGGTCGCTGAGTCATAACATTCTGTAATTGCATGTACAGTGTTAAGGCATACCCCAATCATGTTATTTAAAGGAACTGCGTATTTTTATGTTGCCCTTTGAGCTGCTCTAAAATGACATCTCCCCATTGAATGCTGATTTTAAATGTTTTTTTTTTTTCCTTAGTACTAGTCCCCCAAGTAGGTTCCCCTCATGCCTTTCTTCGCCAGTCACTTTACTTTTAGCTTAGGAGATTGCTGAAAACAAATGTCCCTCTCTCGTTTATTTTAATGGGTTTCAAATGTTTGGGATGTTAGCTTCAATAATATTTGCCAAACCCAAATATATTCGGCTCACCCTCACTAATAAAATGGAGGTTGTTAGTATAATGTTTATCTGACTGCATCGGGGCCAGATCTAGCCTATCTAATGTGGGGGTGCAGTAAAGAATGTCAGGGGGGCAGAGGATGGGAGGTCTGCAGGGCACTATACAGGGGGTCAGTAGGGCAGAGGATAAGGTTAGCAGTTTGAATGGCAGTGCAAAGGGGCAAGGGGCAGCAGAGTGGTGGACAGAGGTCAGCAGTAGGAAAGGCAGAGTTCAGGGGTCAGTAGTAAGAGACGCAGAGGACAGATTTTCTGCCTAACAATGGGAGGAGCTTAAAGGGGGATCAATGAACAGAATCTGTGCCTAGTTGTGGTATACACTGCACACATATAGCACAGTCCTCATACCCACAAAACACTACTTACACAAGTGACAGTCTCACAGATACAAATAACCCTCAGGATCATTTTGAAAAATGTAAACGTTTCCATCACATATGCTTTTCTGAGTCCAAAATTGATCACTTTTTGTGACTGAGCCTACCTTAAAGAAGAATTCATTAAAACCAGCAACTGTTGGGATAATGAACACCTTGGTCAGGTCTATGTACAGCATAAGGGATAGAGTACAGGCGGTCAGTAGTAAGTAACATCAAAACAACCCAGTTCAGTATCAGTACAGCATCAGGACGAGCCCACATGTTCACAACAGATTCCCCCAGAGTCCTCCATCTTACAGTAGGATCAGAATCATCCCCTCAACATCAGGGTCCTTAAATCCCCCCTTACATCAGGGTCCCCGAGGTTCCTCAGTCTTACCTCAGGGTCCCCAGATCCCACCTTGCATCAGTATCCACAAACTGAATAAAAATTCCTCCTGCGCTCCACAGAGTAACTACACAGAGCCTGCTGCTACCATCTAAAACCCTCTACCATGGGACAAAATGACATCAATATTGGGATGAAGCGCTCAGCAATGGGGGTAAATAATAAATTCCATTATTATAAAAGTGACAAATGCTTAAATAAATAAAAATAGTTATTTCAAAAACCAAACAAACAGTCTGCCACCCAGTGGCTAAATCAGATACAAAAATGTGAACATAAAGGGGTTTATTTACTAAAGCTGGAGAGTGGAAAATCAGAGACTCACTTCTACATAGAAACCAATCAGCTTCCAGGTTTCATTGCCAAAGCTTCATTGACAAGCTGAGGTTAGAAGCTGATTGGTTTCTATGCAGAAAGGAGTCTGATTTTGGACTCTCCAGCTTTAGTAAATAAACCCCACAGTGACAAGTGCTCTGAAATAAATATATATATATATATATATATATATATATATATATAATAAATATAAATAAACGTGAATTCATAGGCTATGACCACTCACTAAACTATATATATCCATAAATAAACCATGAATTAATGTGCGTGAAATAATACACTGTGAACACTCTCTATAAAAGTGACAAGTGTTAAATACACAATTAAATCACATACAAAATAAAGTGCAAAAAACGTGCTAACACAATCATTTATAGTGAAAATAATATAAATGGTGCTAAATCTTCCTCCACTTGCAGCATGTGCTCAAGCCAGTGATCACTCTAGTGCATGTATCCTCCAGTGGCTAGAGTGCCTCCTCACCTCCTTAACTCGACCCCTAAGGGCCACAAATCATATAGTAATATGATGTTTCAACCCCGATTGGGTTCTTTACCCTCTGGTAATAGTGGTCCCAATGGCTCCACACCACCTCCTTTCTCACCGATATCCACTGAAATAATATTTTGCATGGACAAGCTCAGCAGTATACATCAGGGCCATGGAAGGATAAGCAAAAAGAAACTTCCATAGTGTAATATGTCAGTTTAATAAGACAATTCCCCATTAACCATGATTGCTGCAGAGGGTTGACTATATAATTTCCTTATCCACTCTC